ATACAGAACATAGACAGCGAGGCAGGTCATGATAAGACTTGGCTGATGACATGCAAGTATACAAGTACGGCGCCCATACTAGAATACCGCCAGCTCGCCATCAGTACTATCTCTGCGAGGTTCGCGTGGACCTTCGTTTCTTTTCGCTGTTCGATCTGTTCTGTGTATCCCTGCGAGTGGCCCACCGGCACGCTCATTGAGGGGCTTCTGTGGGTAGAGGCTGCTTCGTTAACATTCGGCCCCGTCTACCCCAAGGTGTTTTCCCGCCCTGGGTACAAGGAGCTACTGGCGGCTGACCTCACAGGGCCCCCCGTCTTGTAGAGGGCCATACACAAGCTTGCCTTAAGGCGGCAAATCAGGTGGCCTTGTGATGATGGGGATTGGCGATGGAGGGGGCGGGTTCACGTGTGTGTCGCATTAATTCAGAGTACCGGCTGCCAGGGCTGATTAGGGTGAATACCCAATGGGAGGCTTATTGTCTTAAACCCTTTGTGTGGTCTGGGTGGTTCCAAAAGGGTTACAAGGCAGCCGGCTCATACCGGCACAAGTCTCAAGGATGGTTGCAGAAGGATACACTGTATCCGCTCGACGACTGCATGCTCGGAGGGGAATGTGCTGTCAGTAGAGAAGCTGGTGGCATGGGTGGAGAAGAAACACATGGAAGCGAAGGCATGGGCGACAATGATGGCTGACACGTGTGTTAATTCGGTCACAATTGTAACCCTTTTGGAACAACCGTGTTTGTTATAGGGGATGGCGCATCTGGGCCACTCCTTTGAAACATGGGTGCCGTCCACTTTGTGACCAGCAAGCACACATCAAGTGAACTGGACAGTCAGCAACCAGTCGTACTAGTCCCACCGATACTGCTGTGGCGGTGTCTGCCTCGCACCTTACACTGACGGCACTCTTTCCAACAATGCAGAATGTGAAGCCATTTGAGTACTGAACCGAAACTCCATACGGGCATATGGACTGCCAGTGTGCCTTTACGCATATACGCCTGCATATGTATGTACATGCGTGCCATCTGTTGCACATGTGCATGGGATAACTTTCGTAGTCATTCGTTGTCAACCAGACAAGGGTGCATCCATCGGCCTCATTGCTGCGGTTGCTCAGCGGTTGGTGAAGTGTGTGTATGGCATGAAGTACATCAGCCCCTTTCGGTCCCCCTCCGGGGCGGCTGTGCAGAACTTGCCCTTCAGCTCACTTAGCGGCAGCCCTAGGTCCTGCCACATCTCCCACTGGCTGCCTGCCCTCGCTGTCTGGGCGGCCGCCATGTTGACCACCACCAGCCCCTCGCTGAACACCTGTCCCGAGTACACATCTGCGACAGTGAATCGGACATCCTGAGCGCCATCTTCTGCGGGCAGGTGGACGAAGTGCTTGAGGTAGGCCGCATACGTCCGAGTCTTGTTGCCGACTTCTGCCTGGTAGCATGCCCAGCAGGAGATCCGCTGCTGCTGGCGCCCATACTCAGCCCCGAAGTACTGCTCCTCGTCGAGTGCCTCGGCATGCAATAAGGAGCGGGCCTTGGGACAGTCAGGTGGTGTAGACATGAGAACCCTATCCAGGCGGTCCGTGTCCAGTTCGTAGCTCGCACTGGGACCCAATGTCCAGGAAGCCACATCCTCGAATGCCAGGGCATACCAGTGCACTAGGCTCGCCATGGCTGCCCGGACTTGTGCCACTCGTTCTGGACTTGGGTAGACCATGTGGCCTCGTCCAAGCAGGTAACCGTTGGCTCCTGGTTTATCAAACCAGGCAGCCTCGGTGTTCACTGCGCGCCGTGCCAACATCCTCTCAAGCTGCTGGTTGGTCGTGTGTTTGGCCCCGGTCCCGGGGTCTGCCTCGGTGAGCGACTCGGAGGCCCGCATCAGGCACAGCCACTGCGCGTAGTGCTTCTCGGGTGCCTGTGACACCATCCTTCCGCCTTGCATCTTCATTTGCTGCATCATGCGTTCCACCGGCAGGTCGGAGTACAGCCAGCATACGCAGATATGCAGGTTGACCGTGAACATGTAGCCCGGCACCTCCAACTCCTCCAGCCTGGTCGTGTAAGCTCTGAGCTTGCATGCAGCCGCCTTGGCTGCCACCAGGAACTGCTCACGGGTCTCATCGGGGGGCCGCAGCCAGAAGTAGTGCGTGACCGTGCTGCACAGGCTCCAACACAGGGCCCGCAAGGCCTCGGGCAGCACGTCCCCCTTGAAGATGTAGCTGGAGAACGTCTCAACGAAGTTCAGCCAGTCCTCCATGCGGTAGCTCTTGCTGCATGGGTGGAGGGGGGCAGTGTGGCGAGCAACCGTGTAACTAGAAGAAGTACATTACATAGGTAGAGTAGCAAACTCTCTGACAGACGAAGGTGTTTTTTCCAGGCAAGCCCCTGGTCGTATTTGCTTTCTCGGCTATTAGCGAACCCCATGTGTGGCCGGCTGCCCAGTGCTGGCCGTGCTCACCGGTACTGCATGATGCATTTGTACCGCCGCCCGAAGTCCGAAGTCACGACCAGGAACTGGCCGCGGGCCGCGACCCGCTGGCGTGCTTCACGAGACATGACCAGCTTGGCATCTGGGTCTGCTGGCTTGATGTCTTTGAGCGACCTCAGCGTGTAGTCCACAAAGTCGCTGACCAGGCCGAACAGCAGGGCAGGGCAGGGCAGGGAGACGGTGAAGAGGCACGACAGGTCGACGTACGGCAGGGCCGCAAAGGCAGTCAGGCCCTTGCACCCAGTCTGGAGCGCCGCCTCATCGAACTGCTTCTGCGTGATCTTGTGTGGAGTCCCAAGGTGGAGCATCCTGTACATCGCCTGCATGACACTGCCCGCGCTGACGAAATGCCGATGGGTCTTCTTGAGAGCCCGGGCGCCGACCTTCAGGCTCTTGCCTGCATTCCGCTTTACGAAGTGCTGGCTGACTGCTTGGGTGTAGCCACGGAAGCGCACGGTGGCCCCGCGCCCGACATTGGCCTCCGTGTGTGCCTCGAATAGGCACCACATGCAGCTGCCGACACGACTGTTCTGGTCTCGTAGCTGCTGGTGGGCCGGTTCTGTCGGTGGGAACGGCTGGAATAAAAGCCTGCCGCGGTCCAGGTGTTGGACGGGCGGCTCATGACTGCCATTTCAGGGGCTGGGGACAGCAGGGTGCGGAGCTTGGTATGGAAGAGGGCAGCTCTGCCTTTTGGACACCTAAGTGTAAGCTCCAAGACCCTCTTATCCTGTTTCCCGCCCCACCGGTTATTATTCGGTTTATAGGAGACCCAAGCCCAGAGGCCTATGCTAACCAGGTCGACTGAGAGCACACAGGGAACGGCAAGGGACGATGACAGGAAACCTGACGTGGGTTACCCGGCAGACACTCAGGATGGCGACGGAAGGGATCCGACCGAGTTGCTGTCGTTGGAAGATGACCCTTGCGAAGACGACCAGTGGGTGAGTCACCAGCCGACAGGGCGGAAATCCAGCGGCGTAGGACTAGCACCAGCCTGGGAAGCGAGTGCCCGCAATGCTGGGGGCAGGGAGGCACTCCAGCTGCTACAGGAAGCCTGGCAGAGGTTGCAGCGGCTGGGGCAACAGGACGCGGTAGATCTGCGGGATGAACAGGAGTTTCTCGAAGAGGTCGTCTGTTTGCTCCCAGATCCTGAAGACTTCCAACCAGGAAGGATACGTCTACATGTTGCAGTGTGGCGAGTGTTCTTTCAGGCAGCTAACGAAGGCCCGCCCCTCACGGACAAACAGAAACGGTGGCTGGGATACCTGCAGGGCGGAATTCAGCTGGAGTGGGTGCCGTGCGACTACCCAGGGCAAGAACTAGCCCCGGAGCGGGGATGCAAGCTAGCTATAGTGCGTGAAATGCTGCGGGTCGCGGTGCCGGATTGTGACCTAGACTTTATCATGGCGGGTGACCGGCCGCGAGCCGTGCAGTTTCCTAACCATCGCAGCGCGACTCAGCACAGTGAGTTTGTTACAGCCGAATTGAGAAAGGCCCTTGACCGAGGGGTGATACGGAAATGGCCAGCAGACGCGCCCCCCCCACGGTTATCAATGGCTTGCGGGTAGTGGAAAAAGATGGCAAGCTGCGCCTCTGTATTAATCCGATGTATATTAACTGTTTCTTGAAGTACCGGCCTGTGAAGTACGAACGACTGGCAGATGTACCTAGCTACCTCCTACCGGAAGATTGGCTGTACACCACGGACCACAAGAGCGGGTACTGGCAGCTATCACTCCACGAACGGGAGCACACATATCTGGCTATGCGGTGGCGGGGGCAGACGCTTTTTTGGCCACACCTGCCGTTCGGCCTGGCGCCGGCCTGCCACTTGTGGGGATCCTCAG